GATTCATGCTTGAGTTCCATTGATGTCCTCATCAGGATGCTGGAAAAAGCTCTTCACCCAGAACTGGTCGATAAGATTCTGGAATGATGCCAGAACTAGTCACCTACACTGAGTAGAAGACGTGCACCATCTCCTTCGACCAAGCTGTAGCTTGGATGTGTCAAGTCTGTGCAGAACGCCTGCACATGTGTCCAGCTCCAACAGTTCTGAGCCCTCGGGTCAATCTGCCTGTAATTCGCAATCAATCCGTCCTAATGGACATTGGAGAAGCCTGAAAGCGAGGAGCATGCTTCGCCTGCAGAAAGTCAGGGCACCAAATTAAGGACTGTCTGCAGAAGTGACAGCATATCTGTCAGGTCATTGGAGCAATGACGAGTGACGAGCAGGATTTGTGGCAAGAAGCCTTTTCTGCAAATCCGGAAGTCACCTTGGAACTCCCAGACTCTGACTATGTACCCCAGGATTTTGTGGAGGCCCAACAGTGAATGCAGCGCTGAAGGGCTATGACTCGGATTTTTTAATAGCCACTTTTGATTCAATGGACACTGTAGGATTAGAAGTAAATAAAGTAAGAAAAGTAGAAAAAGCAGAAAAAGTAGAAAAAATAAATCAACAAAATTATTTATTAGAAAGAAAAAAGTCGAAAACAAAAGTAGATAGTTCTCCTATTTCTTCTGATTCTTTTGATTCTTCTCTTTGTACTTCATCCGAGTCTAAATCCACACAATCCAACCTGCCACTTCTGCGTTCCAAGATCTCAGAACGTTCGGAACGTTACCCAGCCCCGTTCACCACTCAGTGGTTTGTCTGTAGTATCAAGCAGGGATGGCCTCAGCTGAGTTCACAGCTGAGGACATGGGTCCGTCCTTGTCGAAAGAGAGAGGTTAATGAGGAAATGTTGGCACATATACTCACCCTCTTGGACAACGAGGCTGCACAAGCTGTACATTCCCTTCGGAACAAGCAGCAGTTCATCCGAGGACGTTCCAGGCACCAGCTCCAGGTCCCTGTCCTCTTGGCTCCCTTCTCGGGATCCCCCCAGATCCGAACAACGGCTCTGGTAGACAGTGGATGCACCAGTTCGTACATCAATGAGGCCTTCATGCAGGAACACCACCTCCCTACTCGACACGTTCCACTTCCGATCCTGGTATACAATGCAGACAGAACCCTGAACTGGAATGGTCGGATCACCGAGTTTGTCCAACTACAGATGACCATTCAGGATCATGAGGAAAGCATCGAGTTCAGAGTCACCAACCTCAGAAAGACAGACGTCTTCATCGGATTCGAATGGCTCAAGGCTCACAACCCTACCATTGACTGGTTGGAGCAGACACTTGTGTTTGATCAGTGTCCTGAGTCTTGCAGCTACTTTGCACCACTGTTCTGAGTGGATGCAGATGCTTCCAATGTTACTGACAGTTCTAATGAAGGTGACCAGTTGTTCTTCTTTGACTAGGATAGATATGTGGATACATATTCCAGTCAAGGCAGAATAGAGTCGATCTGAAGGATGTCCGAGACGGAACCAGTCCGGAACCCCCTCAGAACAACTCCACTCTGGAACGCACACAGACCCAGCCCACCGGATTTCGTCTGAGAGTTCCTCAAAGTCTTCAGTGAAGAGGAATTCGACCAGCTTCCTGAACACTATCCCTGGGACCATACAATTGAATTGACTGAGGGTTTCCAACCCAAGGATTGCAAGGTCTACCCACTCAACAGAGACGAGCAGGAGACGCTCAACGAGTTCCTTCAGGAAA